AGATCGCCTTGAGGCGCCGCCTGCACAGCCTTTGCCCTTGCATGACAGCACCTGCGGGCCTCCACATGGCTGGGGCGGGGAAGTGGATCGGTTTGGCGATCGCGCACTCGCGTGCCCGCGCACAGGGCTCCTCGCCAGGCGGGCCAAGGTCGTGGAGCGAGCGTGGGTGCGGGTCGCACGGGAAGCGATGGGAGCGGAAGGCCAAGTCGTTCCGCAGCAGTGGTTGGCCCGCACCACCGCCCCGAATGTCGGAGCGCAGGACCGGCGCAGGCTCGACCTAGTTGTGTACAGAGCGATGAGCAATGGCGGGGCGCAATGTCGCGACGCCACGCTGGTGTCCCCACTCACGCCTTCGGGGCACCCGCAACCATGCGCAGCGGCCGTTGATGGAGCCGTGCTACGGGTGGCCGAGCGCCGCAAAGCCACCGCGTACCCGGAGTTCGGCGGGGCGGGCCCCAGAAGCTGGTCGTGCTTGGTTCCGAGGTGGGCGGCCGCTGGAACGCTCAGGCCTGCCGCTTCGTGCGAGACTTGGTGCGTTTGAAGGCCTACAGCGCCCCGCCGGCGGTCCGCGCAGCGGCGACTGTGACCTGGGCGAGACGTTGGTGGAGCATGCTCTCACTTGCGGTGCAGCAGGCCGTGGCCAGTACGGCTCTGGGAGGCGCCTGGCTGCAGCCGCCGCAGCCAGAGGCCGGCTCCGGCCCGCCGCTGGACAGCATCCTCCATCTCGCCGCCCCAGCGGGCCACAGCCGCTTGCCCTTGCGGCCCTAAGCCTGGCGAGGCGGCGGCCGAAGAGTAGTCGGCTGTAGGACGGTAGAGGGACACTTTTCGGCAGACGGAAAAAGGTGTGTTTTCACAAACACAGGACTGGGTTCATGCCAACCTGAGATCGCCATCTTCGTCTGGATACGACGTGCGCCCTACATTACAGTCGAGCAATGCATGGCTCAAAGTGTCCGGGCCACATTCGCAAAACCGGCATGGTACGGATCCCATGTTGGAATGATGCGCTGCACGACCATCGCTGAAACAATGATGACCCCTACGGCGACCACCACGCCTCCTGCCCTCGAACCGGACTGCTGGCCCGCCGAGCATAGCCCCTCGAGCATGCATGGGTGCGCATCGCGCGCGAGGCTGTTGGACCCGAGGGCCAGGTCCCGCAGCGGTGGTTGGCACGCACGTCCGCCCCTAATGTCGACCCAGCCGATCGCCGCCGCGTTGACCTGGTCGTGTACGGCGCTATTCCACTTGGCGAGGCGCTGTGTTGCGACGTCACGCTTGCGTCGCCTCTGACGCGCGAGGGGCGGCCCCAGCCTCTTGCAGCCACTCGTGATGGTGCAGCCATCGTTGTCGCAGAAAGGTGCAAACGAGCTGCCTACCCTAAGCTCTGCGGCCGGCCGCAGCGTCTGTGCGTCCTCGCCTGTGAAGCTGGGGGCCGATGGAGCGCTGAGTCCCTGCGTGTTGTCACACAACTCGTGCGACTCCGAGCCTTTATTTTTTTTTCCGCGCGCCTTTTTTCCCGACCAACGAGC